TGGACGAATCTGGGTTTGGCGGATGCCAGGAGAACGCTACCTGCCCCAATGCATAGTGCCAACTTTAAAGTTTGGTGGAGGAGGAATAATGGTCGGGGGCTGTTTTTCATGATTCGAGCTAGGCCCCTTAGTTCAAGTGAAGGGAAATCAATGCATATTCAATTACATTCTAGATGATTCTGTGCTTCCAACTTGGGGAAGGCCCTTTCCTGTTTCAGCATGACAATGCCCCTGTGCACAAAGCGAGGTCCATACAGAAATGGTTTGTCAAGATCGGTGTGGAAGAACTTGACTGGCCTGCACAGAGCCCTGACCTCAACCCCATTAAACACCTTTGGGATTAATTGGAACGTCGACTGCGAGCCAGGCATAATCGCCCAACATCAGTGCCCGACCTCACTAATGCTCGTGGCTGAATGGAAGCAAGTCCCCGCAGCAATGTTCCTGCATCTAGTGGAAAGCCTTCCCAGAAGAGTGTAGGCTGTTTTAGAAGCTAAGGGGGGACCCACTCCATATTAATGCCTATGATTTTGGAATGAGATGTTCGCCGAGTAGGTGTCCACATACTTTTGGTAATGTAGTGTATGTATAGGGTAAGGTGACTAGGCATCAGGATATATGATAAACAGAGTAGTATCAGCATAAATGATGATTGTATGGGAGTGTGTTCGTAGTCAGTATAAATGTGTGTGCATGTTATGTGTGTGTTGGAGTGTCAGTGTGCATGAGTGTGTAGAGTCCTGTGAGTGTGCATAGAGACTGCAAAAATAAAATGAAAAGGGTAAACTCAGATAGTCCGTGTAACCATTCTGTAAGATATTTAGCAGTCTTATGGTTTGGGGATAGAAGCTGTTCAGGAGCCTGTTGGTGTCGGACTTGTTGAACCGGTACTTCTTGCCGTGCAGAAGCAGAGAGAACTGTCTATGGCTTGGGTGGCTGGAGTCTGGCCCCATTGATGTACTGGGCTGTCCGCACCACTCTCTCATGCGATCGAGGGTGGTGCTGTTACCATTGCCATCTCAGACAAAACATTTTGCTCATTAAAATTCCAAAAATGTCTCTTTATAATAATGCAAAACTTACCTAAATATCACTCACGCATTATTATAAAGGCACATTTTAGGAATTTTAATGAGCACATTTTTTTCTGAGCTGGGGTTGAGTAACTGGGGGGGTTGTGTCAACTATCACTGACGTGGATCAGGCCCTTAACCCTATAATTTTTTTTTTTCCCTGTTTAAGGGTAAAAGACCAATGTAATCCTTGGTTTACATGTGAATTGTCTGAGAAATTACAGGAAATAAATTTAGCTTGGGCTAAGGCTAGATGGACTGATTCTACATCTGATTGGCAGTCCTTCAGATATTTGAGAAATAGATGTCTATCCCTGGTTAAAAAGGCAAGATCAACATATTTCTTGAATTGTTTTTCAGAGTGGTGGTAATCCAGCCAACTTCTGGAAAGTGGTAAAATCTTTTAAACAAAACTCCACCCCCTCGTTGCCCCAGCAGGTTGACAGCCTCTGGTCCCATTCTAGACAAAATAGAAATGTGTGATGCTTTTAATAACCATTTTGCTTCAGCTGGCCACCTGTTTGAAAGGATCATCTCTGAAAATGCATCTCATCCCACTAGAGGGGGTCCTTTAGTCACCTCAGAACAGATTGTAGAGAATGATGCACGAACAGACTCAAATACTTTATTTTCATTTCAACCCTTTGATGTCTATGATGTACTTTGCTAAAGATTTATGTTTAAAAAAAAGCCTAGGGGCTGATTCACTTGATTCCTTCTTATTGCAGCTCTCTGCCCCACTTATTGCAGAACCACTGACCTATATTTTTTACTTGACAATTGTTTCTGGTGTTAGCTCTAAGATCTGGAAAGCCGCAAATGTCCTCCCCCTACATAAAAGGAGGAGATCCTTCTGCCTTAGGTAACTACCGTCCAATTTACAAATTATATTGCCTTCCCAAAGTTTTAGAATCTCAGACTAAGTTTCTTCTCACTCTATTCTTAATGTGCACCAATCCTGTTTTAGACCTGGACATAACACAGTTTCAGCTGCTACCCTTGTTTAAGATGTGTTAAATTGTTAAATCATTGTGCTGCCTTATTTATAGACCTTTCCAAGGCCTTCAATACCGTTGACCATCACATTCTTATTCAAAGGTTGACTGAAATAGGCCTGGATCAGGCTTCTTGCAAGTGGTTTGAAAATGATCTGTCAGACAGGACTCAATGTGTGATCTCTAATGGTGTTAAGTCTAGTTTTCTGGATATTACAAAAGGTGTACCGCTGGGGTCGGTACTAAGACCTGTTCTCTTTACTATTTATATAAATAATAGTCTATCTGTTAAAACTTGTAATATTCATCTGTATGCAGATAGCACTTATGTCTGCCATTGCCCCAACTGTTGAACAGGTTATATTAGAGCTGTAATCTGACCTTGTTACCTTTCAAAAAGCCCTGGTTGGTTTCAAACGTGTACTTAATGCAATCAAGACTAAATACATGTTCTCTAGTTCTCACAATAATGTTTCAGATGGACTACATATTTATTAATTGGATGGTTCTCCCATTGATCGGGTTCCCGCCTACAAATATCTGGGCAAATTAATGTTTAAAAAAACATACGGATGACCTAGTTAAAAAGCTAAGATTTAAAGTGGGCTTCTTTTTTTAAAATAGATCATGCCTCTCCCTAAATAGCAGGAAGCAGATTGTACAGTCAACTTTCCTGCCAGTTCTTGACTATGGTGACACCATTTACCAGATTGCAGCAGCCACTACTCTTAAACCTTTGGATGCTGTCTACCATAGCGCCCTTCGTTTTTATCACTGCTTTTAATACTCACCACTGCATCCTGTATCAAAAGATTGGCTGGTCCTCATTAAAGTCACGTAGATCAATTTATTACTCCCATTTTGTTTACAAAGCCTTACTACACAAGCTCCCAACTTACCTAACTTCGTTGCTAACGTATAAAAGAATGAGATACCAATCCTGTTCACAGGGTTGGTTAACTCTTCAGATTCCACGGAATTAGGTAAATCCGCTTTTAGTTTTCACGCTCCACATTTTTGGAATCACTTACAAAATTCATTACATTTGGATTCCCTGGTGCCAATAGGGCATTGATGATACGAGTTCACCGAGGTGTGCAATTGTTTTGATTGATTGATTTAGTAACTTGTTTATGATGGCTGTGATGTTAGTGATGTTCTAGTGTAGTGTACTTGTAGTTGTATTTGCTATATTTTTTTGCTTTGTGGTCTCAGGGCACCATTTAAAATGAAATAAAAGTTAACAGTAAAATACCAAGCAGTGATGCAGCCAGTCATGATGCTCTCAATAGTGCAGCTGTATACCTTTTTGAGGATTTGAGGGTCCATGCCAAACCTTTTCAACTTCCAGAGGGGGAAGAGGCGCTATCGCGCTTTCTTCACGACTGTGCATGTGTGAGTGGACCATTTAAAGTCCTTAGTGATTTGGACACAGAGGAACTTGACGCTCTCGACCCGCTCCACTGCAGCCCCGTTTCCTGTAGTCCACGATCAGCTCATTGGTCTTACTGACGTTGAGGGAGAGGTTGTTGTCCCGGCACCACACAACCAGGTCACAGACCTCCACCATGTAGGCTGTCTCATCGTCGCCGGTGATCAGGCCTACCACCGTCGTGTCATCAGCAAACTTAATGATGGTGTTGGAGTCGTGCATGGCCATGCAGTCGTGGGTGAACAGGGAGTACAGGAGGGGACTAAGCATACACCCCTGTGGGGTTCCTGTGTTGAGGGTCAGCGTGGAGGAGGCAATGTTGCCTACCCTCACTACCTGGGGTTGGCCCATGAGGATGTCCAGGCTCCAGTTGCAGAGGGAGGTGTTCAGTCCCAGGGTCCTAAGCTTAGTGACGAGCTTGGAGGGGACAATGGTGTTGAACGCTGAGCTGTAGTCAATGAACAGCATTCTCACATAGGCATTCCTCTTATCTAGATGGGTGAGGGTAGTGTGGAGTGTAATTGAGATTGCGTCATCTATGGATCTGTTGGGGCAGTATGTCTGGTGTCTGAGATGATGGAGTTGATGTGTGCCATAACCAGCCTTTCAAAGCATTTCATTACAGATGTGAGTGCTACAGGACGGTAGTCATTGTGGCATGAAGCCTTAAGAGTTCTTGGAAACAGGAATAATGGTAGTTATCTTAAGACGTGGGGATTACACACTGGGACAAGGAGAGGTTGAAAATTACAGTGAATATGCCTGCCAGATGATATGCGCATGCTCTGAGAACAGGCCCGCAGCCTTGCGAGTCTTGACCTGATTAAAGACCTTACTCACGTAGGCCTCGGAGAGCGAGATCACCCAGTCCTCTGGGTTGGTGGGGGCCCTCATGCACGGTGTTGTTATTGTCGAAGCATGCATAAAATCCATTGAGTTAGTCTGGAAGAGAGGCATTGTTGGGCAGATCACGGCTGGGTTTTCCTTTGTAATCCGTAATGGACTGTAGCCCCTGCCACATGCAGCGGGCGTCGGAGCCTGTGTAGTATGATTCCACCTTATTTTTTCATAGCGGGACTTGTACTTGTTCCTGTCCTTAGCCGTAGCCTCAGGGTTGTCTGCGATAGGCCTGTGTGCGGAAGCCCTGTCCTTTAGATTAGCGCCAACCTCTGTGTTAATCCAGGGATTTTGATTGGGGAAGCAGCGAATCTTCACTGTGGGGACAACGTCACCGATGCATTTCCTTATGAAGCCAGTGACGGTGGTGGTTAGCTCGTCGATGTTATCGGCGGAGTCTCGGAACATATTCCAATCAGCTCTAGCAAAGTCCTGTAGCATAAACTCTGATTCTGATGATCATTTCTCAAATGGTCCTATTGGACTCACTTTGTCTTGTTGGCATTATGCAGTGCAACTTTAATCAGATGTCGTTTTCCCTGCTGCAAATCCATTCATTAATTCAAGCTTTGCTAACATCCTGTTTCTGGTTGTTGTGGTCAGTCATAAAATGCAGTCTGTGTTGAAACGAGAGAAAATAAATCATGGTTCTACAATTATTATGTTTTGCTTTCTGAATTTGAAGACTTGTTGTTGTGGTGGAAGGGAGGAACTCATAAGGAATTGAACGTTTTAGGCTATTATTTGGGTAGAGAAATATGATGGTGCATCTAGTGATGACAGCTCTTTAAAAGTATTTTTGTGGTAGTTGAAGAACTATGTAGAATAGGCTTGTATGTAAACCTACTGATAGCTAGCGATAGTTCCATCTAATAAATAAACTCTTTAAGCTAACAGTGATCACCATTTCAGCTTGAATAGCAGTGAAGTAGAGGAAGATGTCATACAGTAAGTTTCTGTCTAGCCTGATAGGAAAGTGTTTAGAAGTTTGAAAGAAAAGCAGAAAGGCATGACATTACAGCGCGAGCCCTACCCATGCTGTCGACGTTCAGGCCCTACCCTACCTTGGCCCGATTGATCAACCCAAAATTAGAAATACAGTAACTTTCTCCGCTAGTATTGATAGGTGATTGTCTCGGTCTTGTAGCTTAATTGCCCAAAAGCACGACCATTTTGAATATCTACCTCTGTATTCCTATGGTTCTCATTCAAACCCATGTAAATCTAAGTGGGCTCAGTCTGAACATCTCAATGTTGGTTTGGAGTTGATAGCTTAAACAGTGAAAGAGGAGATGGACCTAGTTTTTATTTTTTTATTTACCATTGTAGTCTATGGCCCTTTTTTTGCCATTGAAATGCATTGGTATCCATAGCAACGGCTCCATTTGGGCTGCTCAATGATGAGACATGATAAAGCTTTTAGCTGATGTTAGCTAGCTACTTTGTCACTATAAACTCAGACAAACAGTAGTAACTTTTGATTGGTAGAAGAACATTCTGTTCTGATTCCAAATTTAAATAGCAGAGCCCAAGATGTTATACCCTCTATGTTTTTGCGAGTATCCATAGCAATGGCTCCATTTGGGCTGCTCAATTCTTTTATTTTACCTTTAAGCAGGGAGTCACCAATGAGACCAGGGTCTCTTTCACAAGGAAGCCCTGCATATACAATTTGACGAGGCATGAGACAGCTGTTAGCTGGCGTTAGCTAGCTACTTTTCATCACTCGAAACTCAGACAAACTGTGGAACTTTTGATTGGTAGAAGATCATTCTGTTCTGATTTGAATAGCAGAGATGTAGACCAAGATGTCATAACCTTTACGTTTTTGCAAGTATCCATAGCAACGGCTATTTGGGCTGCTCAATGACAAGCTAGAGAGCGGTTAGCTGGCGTTAGCTGGCTGCTTTTCATCACTCTAAACTCAGACAGCTGTAACTTCTGATTAGCAGTCAATCATTTTGTTCTGATTCCAGATTTGAATACCAAAGAAGTAGACAAAGATGTCATACCCTGTAAGATTTTGTCTACATTTCTGGGAAAGTGGTCAAAATGTCAGTTGTTTATAAAAAAAAAATTAATGTGGTTACTAAAAACAGATAGTTAGACTGGTAGGAGATACTTTAGTTTTTCCAATTCTAGATTTGAATAGCAGAGAAAGATTTCATACGCTCTAACTTTTTGTCTAACTGTGGTTGGGAAAGTGGTCAAAGTATCTGATTTGTGTCAAAAGTTGCATTGTTCACAGTAAATGGAATGTTGGAAGTCTGGGAGTTGATGTCACAATGGTACATTTAGAATGTTGAAGAAATCCCATGAAAGTGAAAAAGGACTAAAAGCTTAATAGTTTAAAAAGTATAAAATATATCAAAAAGTTGAATGCAAACACACTGGTCCTGACTGTTCTGCACGTTTTAAAGTTTGAATGATGTTTCTAGCTTAAAACAATGTAAGAGAATGCTTCTCACAAGCCTTACTAATAAGAGGAATTATGACGAAGATTTAAAGTGGGGACTCTTGCTTCGCAAGCCCTATTAAATAGAGTCAATTCCAATAGGGCCTTGGTGAAATGTCTCCATTCTGATGAAAACCCAGATCTCCATCTAGGTACATGCTTTCATCATGCACTGTCCTCAGATGCCTCAGCAAGTCGTCATTTAGTTTAAAGCTCTTTCCACAGCGAGTACAGAGGAAAGACTCCTGGGAGTGAAGAAGTTTGTGTTTTGTCAGGGTGTGGCTGTGGTGGAAGCCCTCCCCACACACACTGCAGCGGAATGGCCTTTCTTCTGTGTGGATGTTCCTGTGCTCCTGCAGCCCTTTCAGCTGAGCAAAGACGTCCCCGCAGTCTGTACAGGTATAAGGGGACTCACCTGTGTGGGTCCTCATGTGACATTTCAGATTATACTTGTCCCTAAACTGCTTCCCACACTCAGAGCAGCCCAGAGCCTTATTATGGCTCCTGCGGTGGTGGGTCAGGCATTTCTGAGAGGCAAAGATTTGGGCACAGTCAGGACAGATGAATTTAGGGAAGGCACTGCAACTGTGTTTGCTGAGAAATGCAGCTCGTTTGTAGCTCTTACCACAGTCATGACAGCAGTGGCTTGGTCTATGGGAGGGATCTTCTTTGTTTTTCCGCTTCAGGCAGCAGTGTGTTTCTCCCTCTGTCTCGGCGGTGTTAGGGCTGGACGAGGAGATGTCAGGGGCAGATACACCTCTCTTGGCCCTTCCAAAGACGGGCATTTGATTTGCTATGTTTCTAAACTGACCCCTCTCAACATTCTCAGTATTTATAGCCACATCAGCAGACTGTGCCATCTCAGAGGCTGACCTGATCTCACCCTCTACCTCAGCCTGGTTATTGTATTTTATCTCCTCCTTAATCCAGTCCTCATGTTCAGCAAAATTGTCTTCCTCAACCAAATCATCTTCCCCATCAAGTCTCCTCTCCTCACTGTAAATGTCCTCCAGATGTCTGGCATCTATATTGAAACTACTGGACTGGCAGACTTTAGAAAAGTCTATCCTCCCTGGCCGCGGTCTTGTGACTTTCATCTTCTCACTGTTAACTTGATGTTCTGCATGTCTGAAAATAAACGGAAATATACAGCATATCAACAAATGCATTCCAATAAACACACAATATTTGTAGGCAACATATTTTACACTTCCTTAATCTCTTTGGATGTGGAAGAAACACTCAAAACATGATCTGGCCCTACCCTGCTTCTTCCTCCTCTCTCAGTTGGTCTGCAGGGTATCCCTCTCCATCAGCGTGGTTGTCCATCTCACTGCTCTTATTCCCAGGTGTGTTGTTCAGGTACTCCTCAGCCATGTAGATAGCCTCATCCATGTCCTGGGGGCACTGTTTCAGCACACAGTCTCCAACGTCTGTGGGCAGGAGCGACACAAACCTCTGCAGGGCCACACACCTCACCACCTCCGCAGCCGTTCTCCTCTCAGGCCGGAGCCAGTGCTGGGCAGCACTCTCCAGTCCCTGCCCCAAATCCCTGGGCCCTCTCTCAGGGTCGTACCTCAGAGAGCTGAAGTCCTGCTGCCGTCGGCTCTCTTCTGCCCTGACTTGGCTCCGCAGGCTGGCCCTCAGTGTCTCGTAGTCTGGCTCGCCTGACCTGAGGCGCTCCCCACCAAGGAGACCCCACTTCACATTAGAAAGCCTGGAGTTGGAGCCTGCCTTCTCCAAAAGCAGCAGGTAGGCCTCAGGATCCTTCACCTCCTCCATCTTCACATCGGGCTCCATTCTCCTGAGCTCCTCCTTCTCCAGTAACTGTGCCAGAGCCTCAGTCTGGATCTCCCCCTGTACAGCTAGGGCCTGTAGCTGCTGTCTGTGCACTGCTAGTAGGTTTGTAAATAACCGCACCACATCCATGGTTCCACTCTTGGAGTCTCTAGCAATGGCCTGTGAAATATGAAATGATTATAAATGTATGGTAATGACAGTGCCACTGGGCAATGAAGATAGCAACTTGGGTGTATAATAAATCCTGTGAAAATAAAATATTGATGCCAACTCTCAATTATGTCTCTAACACGTGATCCACGAGGTTGTGTTTAAAAGGCTGTACATGTAGCTATGATCTAAATTATAGCATCTAGCTAGTTAATCTTTCTGGCACCACATTCAGATGTTTGCATCATTTTCTCTCTGGATGAGGGCTAGCTAGCTAGCTAGCTAACGTTAGGTCAGTTAGGTGGGCTAGCTAGCCAAGTTAGCTGACAATCCAGGCAAAATAGACACATTCCACCATAAAATGTGATTATCAAGCTGACCAAAACCACAGGTAGAAAAATAACGTTACTCACCGAAAGACTGGGGCGTCGTTTTGTATTTTACTCGTATTGTATGTCTTGCAAGTTAGTCTACAGTTAGTTAGCTACGTACACCGTTTTTTATTGTTGTTTCCGGGGGTACCATTTGATCATGACAACGTCTGAGTCTGCTGGGTGTAACATGGTAAGCATTCCCCTCGTCTATTGTCCAAACATTATATGTAGCTAGCTAACGTTAGCTACTGAAACGTCCACGGCGAGTAATTAACCATCACAGGTAACTAATAATTTATTACAGTTGTTTTCCATTCTTTGAAAATCTATTTTGACATAATATGATCATTTTGATAGCGTTTTTAAAAAAATGTTTAAATCGCCCACCCAGCTAACTCCCGAGTCCTGGTACATTTGTCCACCTTGTTAACGTTAGCTAGCTACTACCTAAATTGCAGTGATGGTAGTGGAAATTTGACTAGTTTCAAATAATTAGCTAACAATTATTTTTCGGTGATAATAGATGCCTTTGTGATCAACCTGGACATTCTGTCCCTGCCAGCTAGTGAAAAGTATTTTTTACTTACCTCACCATAGGCACCTGCAATCAATATGGATGTGGTTGAGTTCCTGGTGTCCTTGCTGGATGTGCATAAACAACAGCTGAAAGCTCTGACCAGACAGGGGGAGATCCAGGCCAAGGTCCTCAGCCAGCTTGTCAAGGATGGTTTGACCAGAACCCTTGACCGGCCTTCACCCCAGGATGAAGAGGAACAGAGAAGGCCTAGGATGACACCAGGGAGAGATAAAGACCCGGAGGACTGGGGTGCTAGGCTTGCTGGGCTGCTGCAAGAGGAGACACAGAAGAAGTGTCAACCGATCAGACCCCAGGGGTTGTCAAATGCATTCCAGTCTAGAGTACTGGGACAGATGTGGACTGTGGAGGACCAGAGCAGGCAGGACTTCCTGTCTCTGCGGTACGAACCCCAGAAGGGAGCCAGAGAGCTGGGGCAGAGGCTTGACTCAGCTGCTAAGCACTGGCTTAGGCCTGACCTAAGGACTGCTGCACAGGTAGAGCAGTGTGTTGCCATGGAGCAGTTTCTGTCCCTCTTGCCAAAGGAGGCTGGTGCCTGGGTGCAGAAGCAGCAGCCTAGGGATATGGAGGAAGCGATCAGAATGGCTGAGCAGCGACTTGGGTCTGGTGTCTTCACCGTCTCCTCGCCTGCCCCTGACCGTACACAGACAGACACAGCACAGGGCTCAACAGAGACACAAGAACAAGGGTAGGTCAATGTGTGGCAGCTATTGAACTAATCATATCTGCAGTTATTCTATCATCCTCAGTGTCTTTAGTTTAATTGTTCAGTCACATGCAGGTCCTAAGAACGATTCACTATGATTAATCTTAATTTTTTGAATTTACAGGAGTGTCAAGATGCAGAGCACCAGTGATCACCCAGATGCTTTGACCAAGTCATTTCTCAACCAGCTGGAGACTGTTAAGTCTGCCCATTTCAGCCTAGAGATTCCAGACATGGGAGTAGCCAGCTACCAGGAGGAGAAGGATGAGCATAAGGGGGTCTCAGAGGAAGGGTCCATATTTGTGTGTAAGCAGGAAGTGGAGGACCCTGACTGGCATCAGGAGAGTGCTCCTCCAGAGCCTATCCAAATGTATGGGAGCACAACAGGACATGAGAGCATGTCTGTGGACACACCTTACATCTCCCCTCCCAGACACAACTCTCTCTCCTCCACCATGTACACTCATCCAACACCTAGAGTGTCCAGTCAGATCCCCTCCCCACAGTCGCCCCGATCCCAAGCTCCTGATGCCTATCATCCACATGTCCAGGATAGCCCAATGACAGACAGACTTCAGAGTAACAATCATTCTAGTGACGAGACGGAGCTTACTGCCAGGTACACAGGGCTAATCTCTGAAGACGGACAGCTGACCTGGGGGACCCTCCCAAGGGTTCCCTCACCCTCCTTCCACACTCGCCCTCCCTCGCCCTCGCCATCCCACCGGTGCCCAGACTGTGGCTGCTGCTTCACCCAGCAAAGGAGCCTGGAGGAGCACAGGAACATTCACACAGGGGCGAGGCCCTTCGTCTGTGGGGTGTGTGGGAAGGCCTTCTGCCACCGCCGTACTCTGAACAAACACACACGTATCCACTCCTGGGAGAGACCCTTTCAATGTACTGACTGTGGACAGACCTTCAAACTCAAAGACACCATGAAGAGGCACCAGGTGTCCCACAGCAGGCCAGGGACAGGGCCAGGGGCACGTCAGCTCTCTCACTCACCCTGATACTCCATCTAGCAGCTAGCTGCTCACTCAGCACTTCACCTGGCAGGGAGGAGGCCTCGTAGTAATCAGCACACAACAAGGACTGGTCAGATGGCTTTCTCTGGAAATATCCTAAATAGGCAGATTTGTGTGAGAACGCTACCAGTGTTTTCTGTTGGTGTGTTCCATAAACAGGACACTGGTTTGGATTTCACAGGTGAACTGGTTGTTTCCATGTAAACAAGCTCAAATTACTTCTGTTTCATTGCTCCCTTTGTGTTTTTGCAGAATGCCCCGCCATGGTCCAAGTTAGAGGTGTTTCATGCATTTGGATATTGTGATAGTTAATCTTGACTAATTATTTATTATGCAGAATTGTTTTTTTGTGATGTTTGTATTTCATTTAATTCTTCAGGAGAGCAGAGATCAGAACATATTGTGTCACAATGTACTGTACTGGTTTATGTATTTGTTGTTTTATGCGTAGTGTGTATATATATATATATATATCAGTTGAAGTCAGAACTTTACATACACCTTAGCCAAATACATTTAAACTCAGTTTTTCACAATTCCTGACATTTAATCCTAGTAAAAAATCCCTGTCTTAGGTCAGTTAGGATCACCACTTTATTTTAAGAATGTGAAATGTCCGAATAATAGTAGCGAGAATGATTTGTTTCAGCTTTTATTTATCACATTCCCAGTGGGTCAGAAGTTTACATACACTCAATTAGTATTTGGTAGCATTGCATTTAAATCGTTTAACTTGGGTCAAACGTTTTGGGTAGCCTTCCACAAGCTTTCCACAATAAGTTGGGTGAATTTTGGCCTATTCCTCCTGACAGAGCTGGTGTAACTGAGTCAGGTTTGTAGGCCTCCTTTCTCGCACACTCAGTTCTGCCCACACATTTTCTATAGGATTGAGATCAGGGCTTTGTGATGGCCACTCCAATACCTTGACTTTGTTGTCCTTAAGCCATTTTTCCACAACTTTGGAAGTATGCTTGGGGTCATTGTCCATTTGGAAGACCCATTTGAGACCAAGCTTTAACTTCCTGACTGATGTCTTGAGATGTTGCTTCAATATATCCACATAATTATCCTTCCTCATGATGCCAACTATTTTGTGAAGTGCACCAGTCCCTCCTGCAACAAAGCACCCCCACAGCATAATTCTGCCACCCCCGTGCTTCACGGTTGGGATGGTGTTCCCTCGGCTCGCAAGCATCCCCATTTTTCCTCCAAACATAACAATGGGCATTATGGCCAAACAGTTATATTTTTGTTTCATCAGACCAGAGGACATTTCTCCAAAAAGTACGATCTTTGTCCCCATGTGCAGTTGCAAACCGTAGTCTGGCTTTTTTATGGCGGCTTTGGAGCAGTGGCTTCTTCCTTGCTGAGCGGCCTTTCAGGTTATGTCGACATAGGACTCGTTTTACTGTGGATATAGATACTTTTGTACCTGTTTCCTCCAGCATCTTCACAAGGTCCTTTGCTGTTGTTCTGGGATTGATTTGCACTTTTCGCACCAAAGTACGTTCATCTCTAGGAGACAGAACGCGTCTCCTTCCTGAGCAGTATGATGGCTGCGTGGTCCCATGGTGTTTATACTTGCATACTATTGTTTGTACAGATGAACGTGGTACCTTCAGGCGTTTGAAAATTGCTCCCAAGGATGAACCAGACTTGTGGAGGTCTACAATTGTTTTTCTGAGGTCTTGGCTGATTTCTTTTGATTTTCCCATGATGTCAAGCAAAGAGGCACTGAGTTTGAAGGTAGGCCTTGAAATACATCCACAGATAGACCTCCAATTGACTCAAATGATGTCAATTAGCCTATCAGAAGCTTCTAAAGCCATGACATAATTTTCTGGAATTTCCCAAGCTGTTTAAAGGCACAGTCAACTTAGTGTACAGTGAGGGGAAAAAAGTATTTGATCCCCTGCTGATTTTGTACATTTGCCCACTGACAAAGACATGATCAGTCTATAAATTTAATGGTAGGTTTATTTGAACAGTGAGAGACAGAATAAACAAAAATCCAGAAAAACGCATGTCAAAAATATTATAAATTGATTTGCATTTTAATGAGGGAAATAAGTATTTGACCCCTCTGCAAAACATGGCTTAGTACTTGGTGGCAAAACCCTTGTTGCCAATCACAGAGGTCAGACGTTTCTTGGAGTTGGCCACCAGGTTTGCACACATCTCAGGAGGGATTTTGTCCCACTCCTCTTTGCAGATCTTCTCCAAGTCATTAAGGTTTCGAGGCTGACGTTTGGCAACTCGAACCTTCAGCTCCCTCTACAGATTTTCAATGGGATTAAGGTCTGGAGACTGGCTAGGCCACTCCACGACCTTAATGTGCTTATTCTTGAGCCACTCCTTTGTTGCCTTGGCCATGTGTTTTTGGTAATTGTCATGCTGGAATACCCATCCACGACCGATTTTCAATGCCCTGGCTGAGGGAAGGAGGTTCTCACCCAAGATTTGACGGTAGATTCTCTCCCAAGATTCCTCCTCCTCCAAACACGGCGAGTTGAGTTGATGCCAAAGAGCTCGATTTTGGTCTCATCTGACCACAACACTTTCACCCAGTTCTCCTCTGAATCATTCAGATGTTCATTGGCAAACTTCAGACGGCCCTGTATATGTGCTTTCTTGAGCAGGGGGACCTTGCGGGCACTGCAGGATTTCAGTCCTTCACGGCGTAGTGTGTTACCAATTGTTTTCTTGGTGACTATGGTCCCAGCTGCCTTGAGATCATTGACAAGATCCTCCTGTGTAGTTCTGGGCTGATTCCTCACCGTTCTCATGATCATTGCAACTCCATGAGGTGAGATCTTGCATGGAGCCCCAGGCCGAGGGAGATTGACAGTTATTTTGTGTTTCTTCCATTTGCGAATAGTCGCACCAACTGTTGTCACCTTCTCACCAAGCTGCTTGGCGATGGTCTTGTAGCCCATTCCAGCCTTGTGTAGGTCTACAATCTTGTCCCTGACATCCTTGGAGAGCTCTTTGGTCTTGGCCATGGTGGAGAGTTTGGAATCTGATTGATTGATTGCTTCTGTGGACAGGTGTCTTTTATACAGGTAACAAACTGAGATTAGGAGCACTCCCTTTAAGAGTGTGCTCCTAATCTCAGCTCGTTACCTGTATAAAAGACACCTGGGAGTCAGAAATCTTTCTGATTGAGAGGGGGTCAAATACTTATTTCCCTCATTAAAATGCAAATCAATTTATAACATTTTTGACATGCGTTTTTCTGGATTTCTTTGTTGTTATTCTGTCTCTCACTGTTCAAATAAACCTACCATTAAAATTATAGACTGATCATTTCTTTGTCAGTGGGCAAATGTACAAAATCAGCAGGGGATAAAATACTTTTTTCCCTCACTGTTTATAAACTTCTGACCCACTGGAATTGTGATACAGTGAATATAAGTGAAATAACCTGTCTGTAAACAATTGTTGGAAAAATTACTTGTGTCATGCACAAAGTAGATGTCCTAACCGACTTGCCAAAACTATAGTTTAACAAGAAATTTGTGGAGTGGTTGAAAAACAAGTTTTAATGACTCCAACCTAAGTTTATGTAAACTTCCGACTTCAACTGTATATATATATTTGTATCAGATACTAGAACTGGAGGATGTGCATATTTCTTTACTTGCACAGATTTGAAAGAGAACCTTTGACAGATATTTTCTTGCCTTGAACATGTCATGTTATAAAATTGTCTGGATAGATGGAAAATTAATCACAAATATTTTTTTTACATAGGTAAACATTTTTACAAATATTACATGTCACAGTATTAAAGTCAAAGGAATGATTCATAATGAGAATATGCTTAACTTCACTCATACGGTTTTATATTTTATTCAAATCTATTGAATTTAAATTATTCATAATGATTGTGTGTTTACGTAGTCCTATTTACATTGAGTAGATTCCCCTCAGTCTGTTATCACCGTGCTCAGTAAGGTTGGAGGTTCTCCTTTAGTTGGCAGAGGGACACAGAGGAGCCCACTCCAAAGCCTGCATACAGAGGCTCAGAGAACTGGGCCTTGAATTTGTGGATCAGCTCCATGGCCTCTGACACAGAGTAGAAGGCCACCGTGTTGGCAGCGTAGTCCAGGTACACTCCAATCCGTGTGGCCCGCGAGGCCTCTGGCAGGTCTTTGTCCATCTTGTTGTGCCATGCGGAGTAGCCCGAGTCAGAGCAGAGTAGGCTCCAGGACTTGTCGTTGTAGCCCAGCAGACTGTAGGAGTTCTTACCCTTGCGGCTGATGCTCTTGTAGGCCACTCCGATGGAGAACTCCCCGCTCCACTCTGCTTCCCAGTAGTACCTGAACCCACCCAGGCACTCTCTGCATAGAACCTGGGAGAAGCCATCGAAGCGTTCGGGGTGATCCGGGTAAAACTTGACCGTCTTCTTCCGCATCACTTTGTGGTTCCCCTCAGACAGAACCAGCTCTTTGTAGGCTGTGTTGGGGTCAAAGGTGAGCGGACAGGAATCTGAAAAAAATAGATTTATTGCCATTATCAGAAATTCTTTGAGTTGGTATAAAGAACAGACAAGGACAGACCACTCACATCTCAAGAAGTCTGCTCTAGTTTTGGGTTCCTGAAAATCTGCCCTGGTGGGAGCTGTATTAGAACAAAAAATGTATTATATCACCAGAGATATTCAGATTAAAAACAGATATTTATTCACAGATAATAAACCAATGTAAACTTCATAAATATGTACCTTTGAATCGTTTGTCTCCACCTCTTGGTGAAAGTATGTACACAGGGATATCACTTACTGTAAATGTAAAATTACAGTTGGTTATCGCAATGCTATAGTCTTGCTGTACAAAAGCTGTGTTGTAGGCATCTTAGTCGCATTAATAGACTAACCTAACTTGGAGATTTTGCTCAGCTCCTTCTTACAGATGTCATCTAGATGCTCCTTCATGCCGGTGACAGTCTTGGTGACCTCTCCGAAGGAGAACTGAGGGTTGATTAGGACTTTGGGCACCATGGGCTCAGGAGGAACACACAGCGTGGGGAAGTTCTACACAGCACAAAAATAAGAAATATATCAGTGAAGTTATACGTGATAGATTTTATGTGTACTTGTACTGTTTACATAACAATTACTAACTGTTAAAGCATATCGTAATGCCAATGCTAGATTCATATTTCTACCAGTCTATTATCAGTACTGACCCTGGTTCCTACAGCCCAGTGTCCCTCCTCCCTCCAGTCTAGTACCTGTAGGAAGTGGATGTTGTCCTCTGTGTCCAGGATCTGGCGCAGCTCGACGTCTCTGCGCTGCAGCTCCAGAATCTCCTGCTCCAGCCGCTCCACGTATCCCTCGGCCTGTGACATGGCTGCCTGCATGTTGGCCTTGATAAGCTGGCTCACCTCAGCATGCCAGCGCTCCACCGCCTGCAGCATCTCACTGAAGATCTTATCACTGTCCAACATCGCCCGCTGGGCATTGCTCTGAGGTTAGAGGAGGGAGATACTGCAAATTACACAATTATCATTGTGTTATTATATAATTAAAAACAAAACATTGCAAACGCAATTGTAATGATTGATTTAGTGCCTCTATGACAATATATGGTCCAAAAAATGTATAATGAATGATACTGTGGCGCTAAATTGAAGGGATGTAGTCTCATTAAAAGTACCAGAAATTGACGTGGGAAATGGAAATGGACCTAACCTTGAGAACGTCAACATTGTGTCTCAACTCCTGCAGTTCCTTCATCCGCTCCTGAATGATGTGCTGGACCTCAGACTGGGTCACCAACAGGTTTTTCTGTTTAAGGAGAAGAAGAGGAGGAAGAGGAAGAGATGGTTAGTAAACTGTGAGGAGCCATAATACCCCTTTGTCTTTAGAAGTTTCAAATGAGTTATGCCGTATCATTGCAGTTGTCATGTACTGTTAGAGCGATTAGTGAGGGTAGGCTGTTCCAGTGTGTAAGAGTAGTCTTGCCTGTTTCTCAGCGCGCTCCTCCTCAGCAGAGATGATGTTGTGGCTGCGGTGCTCCCTGACGGTACACAGCACACAGATACACATCTGGTCTGAGCGACAGAACAGCTCCAGGCCCTTCTCGTGTTGCGGACAGATCTTCCTGTCCAGGTGACCCGTCTCATCCACCAGCTTGTGCCTCTTGAAGGTGGCCGACTCGTAGTGGGGCTTGATGTGTGTCTCGCAGTAGTAGGCCAGGCACATCAGGCAGGACTTGACAGCTTTACTGCGGCGGCCCACACAGAAGTCACACAGCGAATCCCTCTGGAGGTAGGGGAAGGGCTGCAGCTCAGGCAGCTGCCGGCGCACCTGGGTCACGTTGGGCACGTTGCGCCTAAGGACGGGGCGAGGGGTGAAGGTGGCCCGGCATTGGGGACAGTTGTACACCCCCAGGTGGTCGTACTGGTCCCAGTAGATCTTGATGCACTCCAGGCAGTAGGTGTCTCCACAGGAGATGGTAACTGGGTCTCGCAGCATATCGGCACACAGAAGACAGGTGTAGCCATCTGGAGGCAGGGGGAAGTTCGGCTCTGCCATGGTCCTGCTGGGTCAGACTGTTTGAAGTACAGAATGACACTCCACTGACCTGTAGTCTCACTCCCGTTTAATAAAGCAAGAGCGCAGTCCCCTTCCACTGGTATTTAAAGGTGAGGCTGTGTTTTACTGTAAACAGAGAATACATGGGAGTGGCCTCCCCACAAACACAAGCATTTCCAACAACCTGCATGAAACTGGGAAGTGAATATGACCATAGAGGAATGAACCCACATACCACCCAGCAACAGACACTCTTGGTTGGTTCTCTTTTGGCAAAATGTCTGTGATCATCATGATGAACTTGCCATTAATTGAAAGCATGTAATGGAGCAGTGATTGTAAACAGGGATGCAACATAATATTGCAGTATATTCAGAAGGCAAGTTGGTACAGCACTTTTGTTGACTCAGCAGCAGTAGGTTTCATGATGTCTGTTGATGTCGAAACAGCCTGCCCTGCTTCTTCTCCGTATAAAAGATAGGACACAGCACCAGCATGTGTATACCATATACAGTCATTGGGGATAGAGCCTTACAGTAAACATATCCTAAAGGACAAGGTCAAATCCCTACAAGTTCCTCTGGTGGGAAAAACATGCCCTCTGTATCACAGTATCAGTTAAATACTCCATGTGTGGTTATGCTGTAAATCATCTAGAATATAACATTATTGACATGATATTAGTGGTGCTAGTACCAGATAAGCCACTAGTGTGTTTCCATCAACATCCTTTCTTATGAAACTGATGGGTTTCACTTGTTCAATGATAATGTCACTTTGTTTCTAAGATGTGTCAAACATGAGGGGAGGGTTATGAATGAGTGAGTAAAGAAAACGTAATATGTTTCATATGAAAGATGTGCACAGAACATAAGACAAAAAATACTGTGGTCACAAATAGATAGAATTGCATGATATGGATTTCATGTTTAAATCAGATGTTAACTGTTCATGTATAATGCTGTCCTCATTTATAGGCTGTTCTTCATGTTCGTTAATACAAAGACCCTTTAGTCTCTGGACAGACAGACAGACAGAGGATAGGGCGTTGCAGCACCAGCTGTGAGCCAATCATAAAGGATGGAGAGGAGAGGGGGAAGGAGAAGGAGGAGAAAGGGATGGGGTAAGGTTGAGAGAAAGGGGGGAGTAAACAAGAACGCATGCTCACGAGAGAGGCAGCAAATGATGTCATGGCTTGTGCTGGTCTGTGCTCGCTCTTTTCCTCCCCACCCTCTGCTCTCCATCTCCCTCCCCTCTCTGTACATCGCTATCATCATTGTGAAGGTGGTGTGACTGGCAGGGCTAGGAGGAAGACACGCAGCATCAGCACAGGCATCCCCAACATCATCATCACTCAGAATTCCTTAACCTAACAGGTAAACAAGTCTACACTTAAAGTTATCCTGTACTTTAGTCTATGTATGGACCAGTAATAAAGAGGTCAAAACACAATACATGACAGCAAATCATAGAAATGAGCTAAGCCATCTATTTGACATAATTTATTATGCTCACTGTCCTCTTTTTGGTGTACTTTTCTTTTGAAATGTACTATACATATATCATGGGGCTATATTGCATGATGTTTCTGTTCAACTTGTGGAATGTATGTTAAATATGAATTTACATATATTAATGTTTCTTTACGTTTTGAGTATCAGATGCTGCATGGCCCAATTTTGTGTCCTACTTGTTTGTCTTTCTCTGGTCTGTTATTCTGATAATAATTAATGCAAGTGTGCTGAATCAATCTATTTGATCCAAGCCTTCATTACTTTATTGAACGATTACTTTACTTGATTAATCTCACAGCCCCCCCACCCCCCTCTAAAAAAACAACAACAACTAACTAACACCCCCCTTGCCTTTCTTGAACTAACACTCAACTTTTCGTACTAGCACTGACTTTGCTGATAGCTACTTTATTGAGGAAGAATTGACTTACTATTACTGAGATATGTGGTTGTCTCACCTAGCTACACCATACAGTGCATTCGGAAAGTATTCAGACCCCTTGACGTTACAGCCAAGAACCCAATGGTCACTCTGACAGAGCTCCAGAGTTCCTCTGTGGAGATGGGAGAACCTTCCAGAAGGACAACCATCTCTGCAGCACTCCACCAATCAGGCCTTTATGGTAGAGTGGCCAGACGGAAGCCACTCCTCAGTAAAAGGCACATGACAGCCCACATGGAGTTTGCCAAAAGGCACCTAAAGGACTCTCAGACCATGAGAAACAAGATTCTGTGGTCTGATGAAACCAAGATTGAACTCTTTGGCCTGAATGCCAAGCGTCACGTCTGGAGGAAACCTGGCACCATCCCTACGGTGAAGCATGGTGGTGGCAGCATCATGCTGTGGGGATGTTTTTCAGCGGCAGGGACTGGGAGACTAGTCAGGATCGAGGGAAAGATGAACCGAGCAAAGTACAGAGAGATCCTTGATGAAAACCTGCTCCTCAGACTGGGGCAAAGGTTCACCTTCCAACAGGACAACGACTTTAAGCACACAGCCAAGACAACACAGGAGTGGCTTCGGGACAAGTCTCTGAATGTCCTTGAGTGGCCCAGCCAGAGCCCGGACTTGAACCCGATCTAACGTCTCTGGAGAGACCTGAAAATAGCTGTGCAGCGACGCTCCCCATCCAACCTGACAGAGCTCAAGAGGATCTGCAGAGAAGAATGGGAGAAACTCCCCAAATACAGGTGTGCCAAGCTTGTAGCGTCATACCCAGGAAGACTCGAGGCTGTAATCGCTGTCAAAGGTGCTTCAACAAAGTACTGAGTAAAGGGTCTGAATACTTATGTAAATGTGATATTTCAGTGTTTTTTTTTTTATAAACCTGTTTTTGCTTTGTCATTATAGGGTATTGTGTGCAGATTGATGAGGGGGGGGAAACAATTTAATCAATTTTAGAATAAGGCTGTGATGTAAGGCTGTAACTATTTCAGCCACACCCATTGCTGACAGGTGTATAAAATCGAGCACACAGCCATGTAATCTCCATAGACAAACATCGGCAGTAGAATGGCCTTACTGAAGAGCTCAGCGACTTTAAACGTGGCACCGTCAGGATTCCACCTTTCCAATAAGTCAGTTCGTCAAATTTCTGCCCTGCTAAAGCTGCCCCGGTCAACTGTAAGTGCTGTTATTGTGAAGTGGAAATGTCTAGGAGCAACAATGGCTCAGCCGCGAAGTGGTAGGCCACACAAGCTCACAGAACAGGACCACCGAGTGTTGAAGCGTGTAGCGTGTAAAAATCGTCTGTCCTCGGTTCCAACACTCATTACCGAGTTCCAAACTGCCTCTGGAAGCAGCATCAGCACAATAACTGTTAGTCGGAAGCTTCATGAAATGGGTTTCCATGGCCGAGCAGCCGCACACAAGCCTAAGATCACCTTGCGCAATGCAAAGTGTCGGCTGAAGTGGTGTAAAGCTCGCCGCCATTGGACTCTAGAGCAGTGGAAATGCGTTCTCTGGAGTGGTTAATCATGGTTCACCATCTGGCAGTCCGAAGGATGAATCTGGGTTTGGTGGATACCAGGAGAACGCTACCTGCCCCAATGCATGTTGCCAACTGTAAAGTTTGGTGGAGGAGGAATAATGGTCTTGGGCTGTTTTTCATGGTTCGGGCTAGGCCCGTTAGTTCTAAAGAAGGGAAATCTTAACGCTACAGCATACAATGACATTCTAGAATATTCTGTGCTTCCACCTTTGTGGCAAGAGTTTGGAGAAGGCCCTTTCCTGTTTCAGCATGACAATGCCCCCGTCCACAAAGCGAGGTCCATACAGAAATGGTTTGTCGAGATTGGTGTGGATTAACTTGACTGGCCTGCACAGAGCCCTGACCTCAACCCCATCGAACACCTTTTGGATGAATTGGAACGCCGACTGCGAGCCAGGCCTAATCGCCCAACATCAGTGCCCGACCTCACTAATGCTCTTGTGGCTGAATGGAAGCATGTCCCCGCAGCAGTGTTCAACATCTAGTGGAAAGCCTTGCCAGAAGAGTGGGGGCTGTTATAGCAGCAAAGGGGGGACCAACTCCATATTAATGCCCATGATTTTGAAATGAGATGTTCGACGAGCAGGTGTCCACATACTTTTGGTAATGTAGTGTATCTTATGATGAATGCACTAACTGTAAGTCGATCTGGATAAGAGCATCTGCTAAATTAATAAAATGTTAAATATATATATATATATATATATATTGAAAACAACCCACTATAAAATACAGTGAGAAGTCCTACCATGGTTTGATTTACTCTGAAAATAATTGTGATATTTTTATCGAACAACAGGCTGCTCTCCAGCAATGATACATAATGGAACATTATTTAATTTAGTAGCTCTCAGAGAGCAGCTGAACTAACAGTAACAGTTCAAGATGGATGAATATATGTGTATGGGTGTGGGCGTCCATCATAAGTCAGCAGCCACAGCAGCCATTTCTTTGTGGGGCAGTTAATCGATCCAGCTAATGGAGTCATTAGGAACAAGTGTGTGTGTGTAATGCCCAGAGGACATGGTGTGCAGAATGTATCGCATTAATGACCAAATCTCTCCCAATACCTCCTAATTTCCTGTCTCAGTGGACAGTGTCCTCCCAATGTTATTTCAACATTATGGCAGTGCATTTGCTGTTAGTGTGAGAAACCACAGCTGTCTCGACTGTATGCCTTTGTCTTGCATCCCATCCTTAATGTTTTACCTCTCCCTCTCATCATTTCTCTCTCTCTCTCTCTGTATAAGACAGAATGGCAGAGGGCTCAGGATTAGTAGCGGAGGTGGAGACGGCCTTCAAGAAGTTTGCCATTCATGGGGACACCAAGGCTACTGGGAAGGAGATGAACGGCAAGAACTTTGCCAAACTCTGCAAGGACTGCCGGGTCATTGATGGCAAGAACATCACCGCCACCGATGTGGACATCGTCTTCACTAAAGTCAAGTGAGACTAGTTCCAGTTTCAAACCTCCACACTGACAGATCCACAGTCATCTTTCTAGTGAAAGAGGGAATACGGCCAGGGGTCCTCAGAATACCATATCAGGAGTAAAGGAAAAACTCTCCAAATGTTTTTCTGTGTATTTTAGGGCGAAGACAGCTCGTGTGATCACCTTTGAGCAGTTCAGCCAGGCCCTGTCAGAGTTGGCGCCGAAGCGTTTTAAAGGGAAGGGCCAGGAGGAGGCGCTGCAGCAGCTCTACGGCCTCATAGCAGGGAAGGAGCCTGCCAACGCGGGCGTCACCGTGAGTGTCTACCTCTCAGCAGCACACTGCCTGATAATATTACAGTCCCAGAGAGAGAGTGTGTGTATGCATTCTTGTGTGTACTGTGTGTGTGTGCATATCTGTGTGGTGGGTAAGCTCTTCCATTGTATCCTCATCTCTCATTCTCCCTTTCCCTCGCTCTTTCCCTTTCTCTCTCCCTCGCTCTTTCGCTTTCCCTTTCTCTTTCCCTCGCTCTTTCCCTCGCTATTTCCCTTTCTCTTTCCCTCGCTCTTTTTCCTGCTCATAGAAAGTGGCCAAGGCAGCGGCGGTGGACAGACTGACAGACACCACCAAATTCACAGGGGCACACAAGGAGCGGTTTGACGAGTCGGGCAAAGGGAAGGGCAAGGCTGGGCGAGTAGACATCCCAGATGCCAGTGGCTATGTGGGTGCCTACAAGGGCAAGGGCACCTATGAGGATAAGGTCAAGGAAGCATAGGCAAGACAGAGGGAGAGAGAGAGACCCCCCCCCCCCCCCCCCCCCCCCAATACTGTAATTTAAGTTAGAACTTTTTGTAAATGTAAATTAATGCACATACTGCGCAGGTAGGATGGGCTGGTCTGTCACTGAATGTTATAGTATTATATATCCTTTGAAGTTGCATGCTGGGGTTGGGGTGGTGGTTGGTAGGATGGAGAGGGGAGGGGAGGTGTAAGTGTGATGAGTAAACCTGAATAGAAAACAAAACAGTGACCAAATTCTATGTCAATAAAAACGTTAATAATATTGATATATATTCACCTTCCCAAGCTCTCCAACCCCTGACCCTATCCCTCCCAGCTTCACTAGATGCTTCTGTAGGAGTCATTTTGGCTTGTTTATGTGTTGTGGTTAATATATACTGAACAAAAATATAAACACAACATGAAACAATGTCAACAATTTTACTGAGTTACAGTTCATCAGTCAATTGAAATAAATTCATCAGGCCCTAATCTATGGGAAGGGGCGCAGCCATGCAGCATTTCTCCTTTGCCAAGATAATGCATCCACCTGACAGGTGTGGCATATCAAGAAGCTGATTAAACAGCATGATCATTACAAAGGTGGACCTTGTACTGGGGACAGTAAAAGGCCACTCTAAAATGTGAAGTTTTGTCACACAACACAATGCCACACGTTTTGAGGGAGCATGCACCAGAGCTTTTGCCAGAGAGTTGAATGTTCATTTCTCTGCCATAAGCCACCTCCAATATCGTTTTAGAGAACTTGGCAGTATGTCCAATCGGTCTCACAACCGCAGGCCACGTGTATGGCGTCGTGTGGGCGAGCCATTTGCTGATGTCAACTTTGTGAACAGAGTGCCCCATGGCAGCGGTGGGGTTATGGTATGGTTAGGCATAAGCTACGGACAATGAACACAATTGCATTTTATCACAGAGATACCGTGATGAGATCCTGAGGCCCATTATCGTGCCATTCATCCGCCGCCATCACCTCATGTTTTAGCATGATAATGCACTACCCAATGTCACAAGGATCTGTACACAATTCCTGGAAGCTGAAAATGTCCCAGTTCTTCCATGGCCTGCATACTCACCAGAAATGTCACCAATTGAGCATGTTTGAGATGCTCTGGATTGACGTGTACAACAGCGTGTTCCAGTTCCCGCCAATATCCAGCAACTTCGCACAGCCATTGAAGAGGAGTGGGACAACATTCCACAGGCCACAATCAACAGCCTGATCAACTCTATGCGAAGGAGATGTCGCGCTGCATGAGGCAAATGGTGGTCACACCAGATACTGACCGGTTTTCTAATCCACACCCTTACCAGTGAAATGCTTACTTACAAGCCCTTAACCAACAATGCAGTTTTAAGAAAATAATAGTTAAGAAAATATTTACTAAATAAACTAAAGTAAAAAAATAAAACAATAGTTACACAATAACGAGGCTATATACAGGGGTACCGGTACCGAGTCAATGTGCAGGGGTACAGGTTAGTCGAGGTAATTGAGGTAATATGTACATGTAGGTAGGGGTAAAGTATTCCCAGTCATGTGAAATCCATAGATTAGGGCCTAATGAATACATTACCATTGACTAAAAAATTTTATGAACTGCAACTCAGTAAAATCTTTGAAGTTGCATGTTGCGTTTATATTTTTGTTCAGTATACGTGATACATGACCCAACATTTAGTGCCCTCTAGTGTACAAAACAAGTTAAAACATCCCTAGACAGACAACATATAAAACACATTACATTTCATTTAGACAGGCCTCCTACAGCCTCAGTCAGCACTCCTATTACTGCAGGAACTCACTCAGCTCTCTACTACTACTACCACACATGTTGCATTATCATTGAGGTTGCTACTAACACGAATGACCTGGTATTATGCACTGCTTTCACCCACAGCCTTCTCAGCTGATGTCCTTAGCTTTCATCTGCTCTGCTATAATAACTGTATATTGTAAATATAGATAGTTGAATGGATGAATGAATAAACAAATGGCTAGATTATGTAATAGATTAATGAATGGTGAATGAATAAGAAGAGATTTACACTGTATCTGTACAGTATAGCGCTATGCTTGTGCTTTGGGAATGAAGAGAGAATAAGAGACCGATGAGGAAACTGCTCCACTCCTCTCCTCCTCTGAGAAAATGACTAAATCAATTGTTCTGTTGGAGGACTGGGAGCCTCCTGACTGCACTGCATTGTCTCCTATTGGGTTGTTGTTCTGTCCCTCCTGATCACTGTCTGTTGTGTTTTGTACCGTCTAGCTGTGTCTCCCTCTATTCTGAAGAGCTATAAAAGAGTATGTACACCTTCAAATAAATCTCTGAGCAGCAATTCAGACCATGTGAAATAGTTTTTTTCTCACAAACACACAGATGCATGTGTACGTGCATTTGTACGTGCATGCGCACACTCACACACACACTTTATCAAATTATATCAAAGTGGCAGGGATTAGTAATATTCCATGGGGTACTGCACACCCCAAAACACAGTATCTGTCCCTAATACCCTTACAAAGCCAGTCTGCCTCCTCTGCTAAGTCCCATACAATGACAGGTGGGGTGCAGCAAGGCTATAAAGTGAGGGAGAATCTCCCCAAGACACAGTCACCCCCTGTTTATCTGAGACCTGTGCTGAAATGAGAGGTGAGACTGACACACATGGAATGGTGTTTACTGTAGTTGACTGTTCTCTGTGGTATGGTGCTATGGTGGAACATCCCTCTGGGATAGGTGATGAATGATACTCTGCTTGCATGTGACATTCTCAGCCATGTTAAGTGGGAGTGTGCTTTACTGTAGCGCTCTGAAAGCACATGACAGTGCCTTCCTTGTATGTGAGGGTGTATCTGTGTTGTGTTTTGTCCTCACTCCCAGGTATCGTGCTGCTGTGTGTGTTTAGGACAGCCCTGGGACAGGTAGGACCGGGGAACTGAAACTACTCCTGGAACGGCCCGGGACAACCCTGCACCACCAGAACACTGTGTGAGAGAGAAAATACAGAGGAAGTGTATATATTTAAGTGTTTGTAATAGTCTGTTTGAGTCTCAGTGTGTGTGTGTGTGTGTGTGGGGGTATAGTGTATATGACAGACCCAGCATCCTGTGGCTGCTGTGTGATGCAGAGACAGGTGGGGCAGCTGTATAAATATTTCAACACTACTCTGACTCAACTAGAGAAACACCTGTAGACAGCCCAGACTGCATTGACTGACATTAAAGGTTAGAGTCTTATCTATGGCCTATATACTGTATCTGTGTGTTTTACTATCAGATTATTGACGATCCAAGTGCTCTAGTAGAAAGAATCGACTGAATCAACCCACTGGGCACAATTCAATGTCTATTCGACGTTGGTTAACGTAATTTCATTGAAATGACATAGAAACAACTCTGAGAAAATGACTAAATCAATTGTTCTGTTGGAGGACTGGGAGCCTCCTGACTGCACTGCATTGTCTCCTATTGGGTTGTTGTTCTGTCCCTCCTGATCACTGTCTGTTGTGTTTTGTACCGTCTAGCTGTGTCTCCCTCTATTCTGAAGAGCTATAAAAGAGTATGTACACCTTCAAATAAATCTCTGAGCAGCAATTCAGACCATGTGAAATAGTTTTTTTCTCACAAACACACAGAAATATGTGTACGTGCATTTGTACGTGCATGCGCACACTCACACACACACTTTATCAAATTATATCAAAGTAGCAGGGATTAGTAATATTCCATGGGGTACTGCACACCCCAAAACACAGTATCTGTCCCTAATACCCTTACAAAGCCAGTCTGCCTCCTCTGCTAAGTCCCATACAATGACAGGTGGGGTGCAGCAAGGCTATAAAGTGAGGGAGAATCTCCCCAAGACACAGTCACCCCCTGTTTATCTGAGACCTGTGCTGAAATGAGAGGTGAGACTGACACACATGGAATGGTGTTTACTGTAGTTAACTGTTCTCTGTGGTATGGTGCTATGGTGGAACATCCCTCTGGGATAGGTGATGAATGATAGTCTGCTTGCATGTGACATTCTCAGCCATGTTAAGTGGGAGTGTGCTTTACTGTAGCGCTCTGAAAGCACATGACAGTGCCTTCCTTGTATTTTTTGGGTGTATCTGTGTTGTGTTTTGTCCTCACTCCCAGGTATCGTGCTGCTGTGTGTGTTTAGGACAGCCCTGGGACAGGTGGGACCGGGGAACTGAACCTACTCCTGGAACGGCCCGGGACAACCCTGCACCACCAGAACACTGTGTGAGAGAGAAAATACAGAGGAAGTGTATATATTTAAGTGTTTGTAATAGTCTGTTTGAGTCTCAGTGTGTGTGTGTGTGTGTGTGTGGGTATAGTGTATATGACAGACCCAGCATCCTGTGGCTGCTGTGTGATGCAGAGACAGGTGGGGCAGCTGTATAAATATTTCAACACTACTCTGACTCAACTAGAGAAACACCTGTAGACAGCCCAGACTGCATTGACTGACATTAAAGGTTAGAGTCTTATCTATGGCCTATATACTGTATCTGTGTGTTTTACTATCAGATTATTGACGATCCAAGTGCTCTAGCAGAAAGAATCGACTGAATCAACCCACTGGGCACAATTCAATGTCTATTCGACGTTGGTTAACGTAATTTCATTGAAATGACATAGAAACAACGTTGATTCAACCAGTGTGTGCTCAGTGGGAACTTAACTATTGAAATATTACCATTTATAGCTTCTCTAGGTCCTACACAACTCATCCTTCCCTGTATATCTCTGACCATTATTCCACCCTCCTTCCTCTACCTCCCTCTCTCCTCTCTCTCCTATCTAGAGAGCCGTACAGTGTTCTTGGTGGCGTTGACACACCGGTGTCGTGCGTGGGTCCAGTGAGGAAGCAAATCACCGTAGCATATGAGCACTTGTTCATCAACCTGGGCCAGGCCTACGACGTGTCCTCAGGGGTGTTCCCCGCACCCCTCTCTGGGGTCTACAGCCTGGCCCTGACGGTGTGGAGCGATGCAGGCTCCCCCGGGTCCTGCTGGCAGCCTGCGCCAGCCTGTACCACAACGGCCAGAGCCTGGCCAGCACCGTGCTGGCCCTGCATCTGCAGCCTGGGGACACCATGTCTGTCTTTCGCCCCCTGGCTGCTTCCTCTGTGATGACCAGAGCCACTACAACAACTTCAGCAGCTTCGTGATCTACACCACCGACTGCCCGCTAGGAGCTCACTCAACATCATGACTAGAGTCTCTCTCTCTCTGTCTTTCCCTCTCTAACTTTGTTCTTGTCCCAGATTCTGCTCGTATTAGCTCTATCACCTGCTCAACAAGGCCTGTGGGATTCAAAATATTGTTGATGGCATATTACTCTAATAATGTTTACCAGACTTGGGGTTTCAACTAATCATTGGTAAAATACACTGAGTGTACAAAACATTAAGAACACCTGCTCTTTCCATGACATAGACTGACCAGGTGAAAGCTATGATCCCTTATTGATGTCACCTGTAAAATACACTTCAATCAGTGTAGATGAAGTGGAGAAGACCGGTTAAATAAGGATTTTTAAGACTTGAGACAATTGAGACATGGATTGTGTATGTGTGCCATTCAGAGGGTGAATGGGCAAGACAAAAGATTTAAGTGCCTTTGAAAAGGGTATGGTAGTAGGTGCCAGGTGCACCGGTTTGTGTGAATAACTGCAACGTTGCTGGGTTTTTCATGCTCAACAGTTTCCTGTGTGTATCAAGAATGGTCCACCATCCAAAGGACATCCAGCCAACTTTACACAACTGTGGGAAGCATTGGAGTCAACATGGGCCAGCATCCCTGTGGAATGCTTTCGACACCTTGTAGAGTCCAAACATGAATGAAGTAGCTACGTAGCATCACTTTGCATGTCTTAACCCTCCCCACTCTCTCTCTTCTCACTGCCTGTGGTCAGTGGCTTGGGAGGGTGTGCTGCCGTGCTGCCGCTGGGACAGTGAGTGTGCGTTTAAGCGCCAGCGTGGGTGCTCCATGAACTGGAGGAGCAGGTGTTCACCAGGATGATGACCCTGTGGCACAGCCTGTCTCAGCTGGACAACAGCATCCAGGAGGTCACAGGTACCAACATTATAGAAACATTATATCTGGTACACAGACAGACCAGGGAGGGGTAACCTCATTCTAATTCTATGGATGACCTCTCTGCTAACAGAGGCCAGGGCTGCTAATGATATACGCCGCAAAACACGTCCTTCCCACTGGGCACAGAAGTCAGTTCAATGTCTAATTTTGATTTACATTTGATTGAGCTCACATAGTTCAACGTGAAATCAACAAAAAATGTACCATGTCATTGGAATTAGGTTTAAAGTTGGGTGATAAAAGACAAGCATTCCCGAAATTCCTTTACCTTTAAGACTTTTTGCAAATCCAATCAGTTTTCCACGTTGACTCAACGTCATCATATTGACTTTTTTTTTAGATGGCGTGGAATTAACGTTGATTCAACCAGTTTGTGCCTAGTGGGTTATCTCTATCTGACTGAATAACTCACTCTCTCTCTCTCTTTCTCTCTCGCTCCAGGAGGAATGCGGATGGTGTTCACAGCCACCATGAGTCCCAAAAGCCACTGCTTCGGCCCCTTCACCAGTAACGTGCTGATTCCCTACACCGAGATCTCCCTCAACCATGACAATGGCTACAACCCTGCCCTGGGTATGCATACACATTAACCTTAAACCCGCTACACATATTTCACAGACAATACACTTAATAATAGTCCTATCCTGGACATGTATCCATCCATTTCAATAACTCCATCCCTCTGCTTCCTCTCCCTCCAGGTGTGTTCATGGCCCTCCGGATGGGCCTGTACTTCTTCTCCTGCACGGCCTACTCCCACGTGGGCGCGGCGGGCCAGAGGCTGTACCACAAGCTGCAGCTGATGAGGAACGGGGAGGTGGTGGTGTCCACGTGGGAGGATAACCAGGAGGACTCGGAGGACAGCGGCTCCCAGACCATCCTGGTCTTGCTGGATAGAGGCAGCCAGATGCTCTCTGAAAGACAGCTGTGTGGAGGCTGAAACCCATAGACAGACATACTGTACATCCACTGAGACACATAGGAAAAAACACATCCACTCATACATACAACTGTACTGAACTGTTAAAGCACATGTAAATTGTAAAATAAAAAACGTTTTCTCACTGAAGCAGTATACAACTATTAATATTGTTTAATTTCACAGGCATCACCAAAGTGACTGCTGTGTTGTTAGGCTACAAGGTTGTGGTGATTTATTATGATATACTGTGTAAAATGTTCATCATTAAACTGAATAATGAACTTGTAGAAACCCTCTTCTACCACCAGTTCAGAACTGTGTGTGTGAAAGGACTGTTTACTATCTTCTCCCTGACTCAGGTCTCATACACATGTGGTATTTCTCATCGGTGTGCTCTGGGACCACACATAGTTTCACAGGTTAGCTGGCCATGTTCACACACACTGGTTTGCTTCTCTCCTCTACCTGTGCAATTTCCACTCCCCCATCCCCTATCCCTCAAGCTGTCTGTCTGTCATCCTCTGCTTTATATAGGCTCATTTATATGCAGCACAGTTTATACTAATGTCCATCAGTAACATACTTTTTGCCAATGAAATAAGCTATATTTACTGTTAATAGATCAAGGTTATACCCTGAGCCCACCGGAGAAAGCTGGAGTGCCAGTAAGGTTTAAATGTAGCCAACCACTAAAATATCTAATGTGATTAATTAGGGTCTTCATTGGACCAATTCAGTTTAGGACATTAAACTATTTAGTGCTTTAGTGTAGACTAAACCCTGCAGATACAATAGCTATATGTGTCTAAGGTTTACTAGCTCAGCAACCCAAGGTCTGGTGGCTAAAGATATATCCTTGTTGCCAGGGGTAACGAGTCCAGTCTGGTGCCCTTGAATGGAGAACAATAGACAATAAAGACACAACTCACACCTGGAACCTATAAACAGAATAGCCTAGAGGCTAATATGACACTGATAAAACATTACCCAAAACCTTTCATTGGAATGACCTTTGGAGTCAGACAGTTACTTCATACTAATGCTGACTCCTCTCAGTGATGTCATCTGTGATGTCAATGTTTAACCTCGATGGCCTCTCAAGCTATGGCATGCCCCGCTTTTGCTGTCAAAGTAATGATGTCATGTACCACTGGCATGGGTGTGTTTATATGTGAGGGGATGTATGTTCTTTAGAGCCAAGAGGAAAACTAAATAAAAGGATGAGGAATTTAACTGAACACCCAACAAAGCTAAACAAATCAGCATTATTTGCACTTTGACTGACGCACTTACATTCTAGTTCCTCTCATTCACTCATGCCCTCACATACTTATCTTACTGTACTTCTCTCATGGAACAAAAGTGTATTCCATGGCTCCCAGACGTTTTCGTCTACCTTTTATAAAAAACGTAATAAACCACAAATAACAGAAAATTCATATAGGCAATAAAGTCAACTTCCCTCTAGCAGTGCCTCCTTCCTTACCCTCTCTAATTACTGAAAGCATCTCCCTCCCCCTGGTCTCCCATGTCCCCCTGGTCCCCCTAAACCACCGTACTCTCCACTTTCCCCCTCCCTCTCTCCCTCCCCACCGAGCACACACTGGTTGAATCAACGTTCTTTCCACGTCATTTCAGTGAAATTACATTGAACCAACATGGAATAGACGTTTAATTGACGTCTGTGCCCAGTGGGTCCCTCCTTATGTTCTCTAGACAAAGTGGTAGAGGGAGATATTTGGAGAATTCCTAAAGCTGACCAAACCAAGCCCTTTGGCAGCGGTCCCTCATTCTCCCTGTCCTGCTCCCAAATAAGGAGGTACACTTACAGGGGAAAAGAGAAAGAAAAAACGGGTGTGTCATAGAATGAAATAAGAGGACTAGAAGCTCATAGAAAAATCGAGAGGAAAAAAAGCCCATATCCTTTTAAGGCTATGGTTTCCTCCCTCCCCTTCTTTTCTCTCCTCTCCTCCCCTCTCTCTCTCTCTCTTTCACTTGTGGTGAAGTAATTTCAGAGAGCGTGTTTGTTCTTTTTAAGCTGGCACTCCCTGAGAGCAGACTCTGTACTCTGTTGTAAAGGGGAAGAGAGGAACTCTTTCACACCAGCTCACAGAAACACAGGTCCAAAGCCACCTGAACTCATCTCAACAACTACAGCTGCTCCCAACTAAACACTGTAAGTACATGCCTGACTACTTCTTAACACCTTTGTCTCTGTCAGGCTCTACCTGTTATTCATACTGTTGAATTTCCAGGGCCAAGTTTTCAAAAGTTATCTATCTGGATTTCGACTATCGGAGAGGATGAAATGTATAGAAATATACATTTAATTAATAGAGAGGATGAATCATTGACTTGAATGGGGACTCTAATTCTATTAATTTCTTTGCATTTAATCCTATCCGATAGTCAATCTGGATAGATACTTTTTGAAAAACTGAGCCCTGGTGTGTCAGACAGTGTCAAAATGGTGTCTAGTAGTTTCTCTGGCATGCTTGGTAAGTTGCTACTGACAGTGTTCTATTGATTTGGAAAGTCTCTTATAGGATTTCATGGATGAGAGTCAGGGCGAAAAGGGTGTAGACATACTCACATGGGGGAAAATCTGACCTAATCTATTTTATATTCAGTCTCTTGATTACACACACATGTCTCCCGAGTGGCACGAGTGGTCTAAGGCACTGCATCGCAGTGCTAGCTGTGCCACTAGAGATCCTGGTTCGAATCCAGGCTCTGTCGTAGCTGACCGCGACCGGGAGACTCATGGGGCGGCGCACAATTGGCCCAGCATCGTCCAGGTTAGGGGAGGGAATGGCCGGCAGGGATGTAGCTCAGTTGGTAGAGCATGGCGTTTGCAACGCCAGGGTTGTGGGTTCGATTCCCACGGGGGCCCAGTATGAATAAAAAAAAAAAAAAAAAGGTATGCACTCACTAACTGTAAGTTGCTCTGGATAAAAGCGTCTGCTAAAATGACTAAAAAAAATAATTTAAAAAATAACACACACACACTGAACACACACACTCTGCCCTCTCACACTCAGTCACTGCATAGCATGTATCTAATTAATTAATTGCATAACATGTTATGAAGCCTCAATGAATGATGCTGTGGTTTTCCTCTCAGTTCCTGTGTCTAAAAGTCTCTCTGTAAGGCTCTGTTCTCTCTTCACTGCCCAGAGAGGCTTTATCAGATGGATCCTGTTCACTATCAGATCCTACTTCTTATCAAGTCCTGCTCTCAGCACTCTCTCTCACACACACTGGCTACACCCCTGTTTAAAACAGCTAGCTGCATGAAAGACACATTCATAAAAGAATATAGGGGGTCTTTCTTTCCCATGATGTATGTGCTGTATCTTTGAGATGGAGATAGAGGTATCTCAACATGCGGTCAGAGAGTGTTATGTAATACATGGTGCCTCCTCATTCCCTGTCCATCCTCTGGTACCAGTCTTCAGTGCAGCTGTGGTGTCAGAATGTGTATATGTGAGGGATTATGTGAACTATGCTGGTATGTCCAGGGGTCAATATATAACAGTGGATGTTTTAGTGGACGCCCTGACAAACACTGTGACAACATTTACATGGACAAGTTTCTTTCGGAACACTGCATGATGGATCTTTTGTGAAGTAACCCCAGTAGTTTTCACAGTCTGTTTCACATCCCTGAAATAATGTAATCTGTAACAGTAAAAATTTAGCAATGTATTAGTGAAGACACAGAGTACATATTGGGTAATAGGAAGTCAAGATGGCTTTAAAGGCTGATTAAGGGCAGACTGTTGTTTAGAGAGATCTGGTCTGGGCCTGTGGCAGCAGGCCTGGCCCTCAGAAGAGCAGCTGTCAGGAGCCAACAGGTCTATCCTGCCCCAATCTTTCCCGTCCATGCGCATCGAGCAGGTTCACTTCTATAAATATCTGGGTTTTTGGATTGACAATAATTTGACGTTTAAAAAACATACGGAGCTAGTTAAGAAGCTGAGATTTAAAGTAGGCTTATTTTATAGAAATAGATCATGCCTCTTCCTAAATAGCAGGAAGCAGATTGTACAGTCGACTTTCCTTCCAGTTCTTGACTATGGTGACACCATTTACCAGATTGCAGCAGCCACTGCTCTTAAACCTTTGGATGCCATCTACCATAGCGCCCTTTGATTTATCACAGGTGACAGTTTTAATACGCATCACTGCATCCTGTATCAAACGGTTGGCTGGTCCTCATTAATGTCCAGTAGATCACTTCACTACTCCCTTTTTATTTACAAAGCTCTACTACAACTGTTTGGATTTAATGAAAATAATTGTATTTGTGGTATTTGAAGCTGAAGTGTTGATTCTGTAACTTGTAGTTTATGTCATTTTTATTCCTCAGGGCACCATTGTAAATGAGACCCTGGTCTTAATGGGTTTAATAAAACATTTAAATACAATAGCAGACTATGCTTAGCCCCCCTCCTCTCCTTCCTCTGTTCCATTCCTGGGGAAAAGGGCAGTAAACAGATCTATAAACTCTCAATCACACATGGATGTATTCAGGTTCTGTGACACAGCACACAGACAGGTTTAACCCAATACTTTTCACACAGTTTATCGAGCCTTTTAGACACTTGATTTAAGGCTAGAGTGAGGTTTGGAAAGGTTAGGGTAATATAGGTAGTGATCTTATGGCCCCTGCCCCTTGCTGACCCATAACAGTCCTCATGAGCCAATCAAGAGCCTCCATGTTCAGATAAGGCCTGATCCAGCCAGTGATGTGTCTCTGTATTGAGGGGGGATCCTCTCTGGGCATGCTAAAACAGTGCTCAGAGGCAGATCCTCAGATTGTGAAACAGCCCTTCAGATTGGTTAGAGCAGAATCTGGTATTTATGATGGTATTTACAAGGGTTGTTGTTACAAACTGTTTCTGGTTGTGACATAGGGGAGAGTGGGGTAGGTTGAGCCATTTTTTACATTCAGCATCACTCCGTCAAGGGAAATATAATATTTTTTCTAAAAAAGATATCTACATATATTTCAGGACGTTCTGTATGCCTAGAAATAATGAGAATTCATGTAAACATTACAGTTTTGAAAACATAGCTTGTCCCAAAAAAGTGGTCTCTTGGCACAACTTACCCCGGGTATGGGGTAAGGCTAGGCCCTGTTGTTACCTCATTGCCCAGCGATAATGCCTTGCATTACACCTGGGAAAAAAACACTTCAATTTGCCATTGGCTCAACCATTGCTCAACTTACCCCATAGCCATTGTCTCAACTTATCCCAAGGCAAACATTTTGACTATATTAACCCATAGAGCTACAAGGATGCACTTTCATGCTATGTTTAGTACCTCATATTGACGCTTATAGAGACACCAACTGATATATAGAACAATCTTAAAATGATCTACTTTGGTTTAGATACAAGCATCATGAAACCTCTAACACAATAAATTCATTTGACTTGAAAATCTGTTTTTTTGGACCTAACTTGCTTTTTCCATTTGGTTTCTTCCTTCACATACTCCATGAAATGATGACCTCTTCCTAAATATTTGGTCAAATTATTAATTTTGTGTTTGATTTCCTAGAAACAAGGGTGGCTCAACTTACCTCTTTGGCTCAACTTACCCCATTCACTCCTACAGTAACTTGGCTGACAGATAGAGAACAATGGGTCCCTCCTCCACATCCCATATAACATATGTAGTAAAAACTGTAGTCTGCTCTGCTGTGCTCTGCTCTGGGTGAGGAGAGATACTGACATGGAACTATGAGGTATTACAGTAGCTCTAATAGCTCTGGTCTGGGTGTCATTAGCTACTGGATGATGCATTAGGATTAGGAAGTAATGCTTTCTCTGTGTTAGAGCTGACCAACATAAACAAGTGCTAACAACTGACACAAACATGGCAGTGCACGCAACCACGCATATTGAGTAACATTGACAGAAATCCTCTGTTGAGAAAGAATCGATATACGTGTGGCCCGTCCATAACAGAATTATAACACAATGGATTGCACAAATACAATGCAAGCATGGCCAATCTGAATCGCCATCTTTTGTGTGTGTGTGTATGTGTGTGTATGTGTGTGTGTGTGTGTGTGTGTGTGTGTGTGTGTGTGTGTGTGTGTGTGTGTGTGTGTGTGTGTGTGTGTGTGTGTGTGTGTGTGTGTGTGTGTGTGTGTGTGTGTGTGTGTGTGTGTGTGTGTGTGTGTGTGTGTGTGGGTGTCGCGCGCAAGGTTGGGGAGTAACTGATTACATGTAATCTGATTATACTTTTGAAAAACTCGATCATGATTACTTCTTGGATGACTTTTCCATTCAGAAAGGATGTTTGCGAAAAAAATACATTATGACTCCTTTCTGTTTTCTCAATGACATTCAATTCAGCATTGAAAAAAGTTGCAAGTTTAATTTTGTTACACCTGAGCGAGTCTGACCACAAGTCAGAGACCACTATGATGACACACCAAATGCATTTGATGGATCCTTTTGTCTTCTTCTAATGCCTCTTAAAGGGAAAGTAACTGGACGTAATCAGATTATGTTACTGAGTTTGGGTAATCCAAAAATTACATTACTGATTACAACACAGACATTGACACATGCACACAAGCAGTGCCTCCACCTCCTTTCCAAACACATTAGAAGCCACAAGACTTGATACGGGACATTTAATACTATTGCAATAGCATGAATCAATGTGGATTTATAACTGATACCTGAATGTTGACTTTTGAGGCATGCATAAAGAGAAAGTAAAGAGGAGAGGAGCATGTTGCTGTTAATTCTAGCTCCTACTGATAAAATATTTTCTTACTCACCATGCAGCAACATGAGTAACCTTCTGAGCAATGTCCAGATAGTCACTATGCCATACTTTGACTCATACAGTAAGATCATAAGGTAATTTCTGTTGTAGACATTTATCCCAACAATCTCATCTAGCTAGCATAATGCCCTGTGCATTTACATACATTGCACAGTATACACTGGGCCATAGGGTTTGTCACTTGCAGGGGACTTTGATGGGCTCTAATACACAGAAGAGTGTGAGCAGGTCTATGAAAGTTTACTCTAACAGCTACCTCAGTGAGAGAGGAAGGACGTGACAGATGGGAGGACTGAGCCAAACAGGATGTAGACAGCAGGGTGTGGCCGGGGAGGAGGACAGGAAGCAGCTAGAAGTCAATGAGAGCAGCAGGCTCACAGAGAGATGACATTAACCTTTGACCCCCAGCTCTGAGAGGTTCTGTGAGAGTTATGGTTCAAGATCACAGCACAGGTGCTGAGACTTTTTGATTATACAGTCCAAGAATTGAGTCTAAATCTGAAGTCTCCATCTGGTGGTCCATTTGTCCATTTGCATGCTCTGGTCTACATGTGCCCCCCTGGCATAGTATTCTTCAAGTTGGGAGGCATTTAGGCTCTCTGTTATGAGTTCTGAACCCCAAACCCCAAACCCCGACCTCAAGATCAGATCAGAGTTCAGATCTATATCATAGGACTGCAGTCACATTTGCGGACCTACTGTACTTGTGTTGACTCATGGCCAGTTTGGAGGGTTTGGGCAGGCCAGGGACATGAATGTGAGCGCTGTTCCGTCTATTAAGTGGGTCTGTTGAGCCAAGACAAAAGGAGAAAGAGTTAAACTGCCACTGTTACACATATAGAAAAACTATCAAAGTATTCATGGAATTCTCAATGTGAGGAAGTGGCTCTTCACCTACAGACATTCGGGTTCATCATTTTTACTCAAAGTATAGATTTCTTTCAAGGTTTATTTAAGCCCAGTAGTGCTTTGTGTATTTATTAATTCAATCAGCCCAATTCTGATCTTTTTTCCACTAAGCTGCGTTTACACAGGCAGCCCAATTTTGACCAATCACATCAGATATTTGTCAGAGCTGATCTGATTGGTCAAAAGCCCAATATGTGAAAAACATATCAGAATTGGGCTGCCTGTGTAAATGCAGCCTAATTGGTCTTTTGACTAATCACATCAGATAATTTCACATCAGATCTTTTTAGAGCTGATCTGATTGGTCAAAAGACCAATTAGGCTGCATTTACACAGGCAGCCCAATTCTGATATGTTTTTCACTTTATGGATGATCAGAATCCACTTTGTGGATGATAGTGAGACATGGAACAGGTCTGTGTGATGAGCATTTAGTGGAGGAAACGGTGGAGCATGTGTTGATATTTTGTGAGCTGTATGATGTAGATAGGGAGAGATTGTGTAAAAGGGTTAAAGAAGCTGGACAGGGTTTGGGTGGTGTAGTGGGGGGAGGGAAGTGGTGTCTAGTGCTCTGTTTTACTTTCTTAGAGGAACAGGACTAATGAAGATAATTTAATGTTGGTATGTCGTGACTGGCCTCACACTCCAGTACCGTAGGTGGCAGTGTATGCACCTTAAAAGTTGAATGCGATCTGCCAACCCAATTCCAAAGAAGAAAAGATCAGAATTGCGCTGCCTGTGTAAACTCAGCCCAACAGTTCTAAGTTTACTTATCCACCATCTCAAACCTCTATGGCAAATTGTGTTGATGTGGGGTGTATTCATTATGTCAATTCTGTAGCAAAACATTTCTTGAACGGAAGCAAACGGAACTAAACTGGGCGGGACCTACCTGAATTTGTCCATTAGAAACTCTTGGACTAATGATTACACCAGTATTTAATTGTTTCTTTGTTTCTATTAGCCGAACTCCAATGATATGGCTAATTGACACAGCTGATTTTAACCCTGGTAATTAGGTCACCTATCATTTTAAATAGGTGTGCCCAAATGTTTGTCAGTTGGATGTCTTTTAACCTAGGTGAGCCACAGTTTTAAACTGCCAATATAGTTAAGGATAAAATAAATATGATACCTTTGAATTGTTTTTTAATCTTTGTTTTTAAAGCCTTAAGGGTAAGGCCAGCTCTTTCACTCTGTCTTCTATACTTTGCCTTTACCTTATAGGTTAGCTTCTATGTAACTTAAGTGTATAGATGGTCAATACCATATGCAACAGAACAAACCAATGTTTGCCTGCCTTATCTGAAATGATATCTCTCTCCCTGTAGGAACAACAATGGCAAACAAAGGTCCCTCCTACGGTCTGAGCCGTGAGGTGCAGAGTAAGATCGATAAAAAGTATGACCAGGATCTGGAGGAGAGGTTGACTGAGTGGATCATTGCCCAGTGTGGCGCTGGAGTGGGCCAACCTGAGGCAGGCAAGACCGGCTGGCAGAACTGGCTCAAGGACGGATGTGTGAGTGCCTGTCCTTCTCACACCTCATGTCTGTGTGAATGTAGAGTGTCTTTAAATTAGTGTACCAGTCTTGCACAGGTAGTACATTTCTCACCCCTATCCCTCTCTCCAGGTGCTGTGTGAACTGATCAACAGCCTGTCCAGTGGGAACAAGCCCATCAGGAAGATCCAGAGTTCAGGCATGGCCTTCAAACAGATGGAGCAGATCTCCCAGTTCCTCAATGCAGCTGAGAAGTACGGCATCACCAAGACTGACATGTTCCAGACAGTTGACCTCTGGGAGGGTATGTCCAGCCAGCTGCTATCAGCTGTACCCCCTCCCTCCACATTACATGTCATACACATCACTTCTATTCGCAGCTCAACTAGCATGCTATACAGATGGATACAAGGTTTTAAATGATATTGTTGCTTAGTCACCCTGTCTAGTCACTCCAGCTACATTCACTGTTTTATACTATACAGTAGTTTAACTTAATAAACATGTCTGGATGTGCAGTATCAATGTCTATTGTCTGTAGGGAAAGACCTGGCTGCTGTCCAGAGGACCCTGATGGCCTTGGGAAGCATGGCTGTCACCAGGGACGATGGGACTTACCACGGCGACCCCAACTGGTTCCATAAGTGAGTTGGCGCCTCATTCTGTGTCCTTTCCTCTGTTAAAAACAGTACTGTCATTATGGCTCTCTGCGTATTCCCATTTTGGTAATAAAGGCCAACATTTGATTAAAATATGTAGTGAAGGACATTACTTTGTCTGTGCAGGAAGTCAGTGGAGAACAGACGTGAGTTCTCTGAGGACCAGCTGAATGAGGGAAAGAGTGTCATCGGCCTGCAGATGGGCACCAACAAGGGGGCATCTCAGGCTGGCATGACTGGGTACGGGCGACCTAGGCAGATCCTGAACAACAACCCTTAAAACCATGACAATGCTCCGTCACCCTAGACCTGAGTATACTCCCTTTCTCGGCCCATCACTGAAGACTGAGACGCTATGTCTGTTAACTTGAACAAACGGGACCGACCCGAACTTCAAGACCAAACTGGACCAAAACTGGGACCAAAAACTCTCAAACACACACTGCATAGATGCACACAATCAACACATTCACACAACACAAAAACATGGTGTCCAAAGTCTGTACAATCATGTTTTATTAAACATTTTGTACGATGGACACGGTTACATAGGAATGGGAAAATGTCCATATATACTGCACTCTGTTTAGTAATGAGTGAAAGTTGAAATAAGATGTTGCTAGAATATGCTGTTAATGGGAAAGATGCAGTAAGATGTCAATTCTAATCAAGATGTTGGACACCTTTCCAGAGCTCAATATTTTTGTATGTTGTATATTGACTATAAGAAATGATTATGAAATAAAGTTCAGTTTAATTTTAAATTATTCTGCTTTTGAATGGTTTATATTTACTGCCAGCATAAGGTTTATTTTATAACTGGCAGGGAGAGGGACAGAACGAGACTTCCGGCAGGATCCAGTGGAGGCGTATGACACTTCTCTTTCGCCTGCCAAGGTTTTGTTCAGCTTGAGTGCCCACTAAACTGCTCAGCATGAGGTTAGGCAGTAACTGGCTGGGGTGGGGGGGTGAGACTGGGGAGAAAAAAGGAGATGGAGGGGTGCATGGAAAAGGTTCTGATGGGGGGGGGGAAACAACATGAGGATACTTCTAGGGTGCGTGAATGGAGATGTGATGGTGCTCTACATTGGAGTACAGTGTCTAGAATCAGAACATTCCCTAAAAAGGACTGCTCACAGCAGTGCGAGGGTACAGAGTGGGACCACTGCTTTCATTCTGTTAGACTGCATGTATACACAGTAATACAGTCTCACCTACTCTGACCAGCTAAACAAGTGAGTCATCAACGAACAGCAATTCTGACATGGCTGGAGACCCACACACTAACTGGATCAACTCTTAGCTACAAATGGGAGGTGTCTGTGCCAAACAGTGACAGCCTATAAACTAATCCATTAACCACTGAATACAATAAAGGACAAAGTGTGATCCACTGTAAAACCATGTAACCTCTGAATAGAATGATACTATGCCCTCGTAGTAGACCGATCTCTTTTTCAGCCAAAATATACACACTTTGACATGTTTACCATAGGAACACAGTGAGGTGTATAGCGGTGTGACTGATTTCCTTCTAGTTGTGGTTGAAAGTAATGTTAGGTGTGAACTAACATAGCGGGCATAGAAAGACGCTTGAGTGGAGTCCCCACATCCACGTATGGAATCATGTAGTAACCAGAAAAAGTGTTAAACAAATGAAAATATATTTGCACCCATCAGCTCTGTACCACATCGCCATGCGCCTCCCAAATGTTGTAACAATGAGGGCTCTGTATAGCTCAGCATTGACATGATTGATTGACGGTACGGTTAGTGTATAAACACAAACTCACTTCCTTGACAACAGCTCGGCACTGCGCCGCGAAGCGCAAGAAGTATGAATGCCCTGACTTCTGCTGAGGCCAATCTTGCCCTGACCGAAAATGCTGCATGGCCAATGCACACATCGGATTGACCATGCGCCCAGATGTACAATGCACTTGTGCACATTCATTGTTTCATAACTTCATTGTTTGAGTTTGATTGTTAGTGTATATCAATTCCCCATTACATACAGTGCATTCGGAAAGTATTCAGACCCCTTGACTTTTTCCACATTTTCTTATGTTACAGCCTTATTCTAAAATTGATTACATTATTTTTTTTCCTCATCAATCTACACACAATACCCCATAATGATAAAGCAAAAACAGGTTTTTAGAAATGTTTGCAAATGTATTGCAAATAAAACATAAGTATTCAGACCCTTTGCTATGAGACTTGAAATTAAGCTCAGGTGCATTGATCATCCTTGAGATGTTTCTACAACTTGATTGGAGTCCACCTGTGGTAAATTCAATTGATTGGACATGATTTGGAAAGGTACTGACCTGTCTATATAAGATCCCACAGTTGACAGTGCATGTCAGAGGAAAAACGAAGCCATGAGGTCGAAGGAATTGTCCGTAGAGCTCCGAGACAGGATTATGTCGAGGCACAGATCTGGGGGAAGGGTACCAAAAAATGTCTGCAGCATTGAAGGTCCCCAAGAACACAGTGGCCTCCATCATTCATAAATGGAAGAAGTTTGGAACCACCAAGCCACCCGGCCAAACTGAGCAATTGGGGGAGAAGGGCCTCGGTCAGGGAGGTGACCAAGAACCCGACAGAGCTCTGACAGAGCTCCAGAGCTCCTTTGTGGAGATGGGAGAACCTTCCAGAAGGACAACCATCTCTGCAGCACTCCACCAATCAGGCCTTTATGGTAGAGTGGCCAGACGGAAGCCACTCCTCACTAAAAGGCACATGACAGCCCGCTTGGAGTTTGCCAAAAGGCACCTAAATACTCTCAGACCATGAGAAACAAGATTATCTGGTCTGATGAAACCAAGATTGAATTAGCCCTTAATGCCAAGTGTCACATCTGGAGGAAATCTGGCACCATCCCTACGGTGAAGCATGGTGGTGGCAGCATCATGCTGTGGGGATGTTTTTCAGCAACAGGGACTGTGAGACTAGTCAGGATCGAGGGAAAGATGAACGGAGCAAAGTACAGAGAGATCCTTGATGAAAACCTGCTCCAGACCTCAGACTGGGGCAAAGGTTCACCTTCCAACAGGACAACGACCCTAAGCACACAGCCAAGACAACGCAGGAGTGGCTTCGGGACAAGTATCTGAATGTCCTTGAGTGGCCCAGCCAGAGCCCAGATCGAACAACTCTGGAGAGACCTGAAAATAGCTGCGCAGCGACGCTCTCCATCCAACCTGACAGAGCTTGAGAGGATCTGCAGAGAAGAATGGGAGAAACTCCCCAAATACAGGTGTGCCATGCTTGTAGCGTCATACCCAAGAAGACTTAAGGCTGTAATCACTGCCAAAGGTGCTTCAACAAAGTACTGAGTGAAGGGTCTGAATACTGTGATATTTCTGTTTTTTATTTTTAATAAATTTGCAAACATTTCAAAAACCTGTTTTTGCTTTGTCATTATGGGGTATTGTGTGTAGATTGATGAGGGCAATTTTTTTTTAAATCAATTTTAGAATAAGGCTGTAACTTAACAAAATGTGGAAAAAGTCAAGGGGTCTGAATACTTTCCCAATGCACTGTATGGAAAAATACACAATTAAAAATGTAGAGTAATTGATTGGTAAAAAGAACATACTTTTTTCAGTTGACCATTGTTTGTTTTTTTGTCGAAGACGGCCCTAGAAAGGTTTATGTAATTATACTTTCCTGTGGATATATTGTCTCACATTCCTACTGCGAATAGGACCATCCACACAGACAACCGGTAAAGTACGTTAAAATATAATTTTATTCAACATTCTGGTTTGTAGAGGTCGTGAGAGGAAACTTTCCTGATTCAAAGCTCATTTCTGCCTGATGTAGAATTCAATGCAATTCAATGTTGGGTATCCACACAACATTGAGGCCATCTCCAGTTTGAAGTAGTACACACTGCCACCTTGAGTGTGTTGTTTGAACAGGTATAAAGCCAAGGTTGGTGATTCACTGCCACCTGCAGTTATGGAATGTTTCCTCATGAGTATAATTAATTGGCTGATCCCTCCCAGTGACCTGGATGGAATTATGTGATCCTTCCTTAACCCATAGGAAGTCCCAGTCAGTTGACTACTTAAAAATGGTGAAAGTCCTCAATGGCGCTGCCCATGCTAAAACAGGCTTTTTGAGTCCTCTACCTCTTTGGTTTGCTGTAGATAGATACAAGACTGAAGGCACATTCCTCTGCCCAGGCGTTGCTGACGCCTGCCAGATCTTACAACGCCTGGATAGCAGTAGAGGCTGGTGGGAGGAGCAATAGGACGACAGGCTCATTGTAATATCTGGAATGGAATCAATGGAACAGAGTCAAACATGGTTTCCATGTGTTTGATATGTTCCATTTAATCCATTTCAGCCATTACAATGACCCTGTCCTCCTATAGCTCCTCCCACCAGCCTCCTCTGCTGGATAGGTATTTTACGTATCAGCTAACCACATCATAAATCAAATCAAATCAAATTTTATTGGTCAGATACACACATATTTAGCAGATGTTATTGCGGGTGTAGTGAAATGCTTGTGTTTCTAGCTCCAACAGTGCAGTAGTATCTAACAATTCACAACAATACACACAATACACACAAATCTAAAAGTAGAAGAATGGAATTAAGAAATGTATAAATATTAGGATGAGCAATGTCGGAGGGGCATAGACTAAAATGCAGTAGAATAGAATATATACATTTATTTTAACTAGGCAAGTCAGTTAAGAACAAATTCTTATTTACAATGACGGCCTACACCGGCCAAACCCGGACGACACTGGGCCAATTGTGCACCGCCCTATGGGACTCCCAATCACAGCCGGTTGTGATACAGCCTGGAATCGAACCAGGGGGTCTGTAGTGACGCCTCAAACACTGAGATGCAGTGCCTTAGACCGCTGCGCCACTCGGGAGCCCATACATATGAGATGAGTAAAGCAAAAATATGTAAACATTAGTACATCTGAGCCATTGAATTGCGACTCCACTTTGTCTCTGTACTGATGTCTTCTGTACTGACATCAAGTGTTCCATTATTAAAGTGGCCAGTGATTCCAAGTTTATGTATATAGTGCAGCAGCCTCTAAGGTGCAGGGTTGCGTAACCGGGTGGAAGCCGCCTAGTGATGGCTTTTTAACAGTCTGATGGCCTTGAGATAGAAGCTGTTTTTCAGTCTCTCGGTCCCAGCTTTGATGCACCTGTACTGACCTCGCCTTCTGGATGATAGCGGGGTGAACAGGCCGTGGCTCGGGTGGTTGTTGTCCTGTATGATCTTTTTGGCCTACCTGTGACATCGGGTGCTGTAGGGCAGGTAGTTTGCCCCCGGTGATGCGTTGGGCGGTGCAGTTGCCGTACCAGGCGGTGATACAGCCCGACAGGATGCTCTCAATTGTGCATCTGTAACAGTTTGTGAGGGTTTTAGGTGCCAAGCCAAATTTCTTCAGCCTCCTGAGGTTGAAGAGGCACTGTTGTGCCTTCTTCACCACACTGTCTGTGTGGGAGGACCATTTCAGATCGTCAGTGATTTGTACGCCAAGGAACTTGAAGCTTTCCACCTTCTCCACTGCGGTCCCGTCGATGTGGATAGGGGTGTGCTCCCTCTGCTTTTTCCTGAAGTCCACGATCAGCTCCTTTGTTTAGTTGACGTTGAGTGAGAGGTTATTTTCTTGGCACCACACTCCCAGGGCCCT